TTTCGGTTTTCTTTTTCAGTGTAAAACCGAAACTATCTCAAGCAATTTCTCCCTTGTCGCCAAGGCTATTTTGATTCATCAGCGCATGCTTGCACCGCTGGGATTTCGGCTTTTCTGGAAGGATCGGCTCTCGCGGTACATAAATAATGAGGGCAACCTCGCGTTTTGAAACAATGAGCGTGCCCGTCTTTTTTGACGAGGGAAAGACACGTTAAATTTACGTCGATTTTTTAGTGTGGAAATCTCGATCGACGGTGTTGTTCGTTTTTGCAATTGTCAATCTCTTTTCACGTGAATTGAGATGTCTTAGAGTTTTGCAACATAAATCTACACCATGAAACACTTTCGGTGAAACCTTGAGGTTGTTACATAAAGGCGCCGATTTCTCCAGCCAATGTCAGAGATAGCTTCCATCCATAACACCACTTCGCTTACGCGGTTCGGAAGTTGATTTGCGCTGCATGCGACCATGCAAGGTGGAGCATCTTATGTCCCCATTATTAGCCGTGGTTTCTTTTGCCTCCTGTCCTTTTGATTGCTGTGGATGCAGATATATGAAACAGCGTATAGTTGCGCTAAGACCTGCATTACAAAAACACCGGATTATCCTGCAAAGGCAATTTGTCTACTAGCCTATGAGGTAGCACGCAAGTGGCGGTGCACTTTGAAAACAAAGTCATGTGCATGCTTTTTCATCAGCAGCATTAAACACTTGGTGCGATTGCCCTCGATCGCCAGCTTCCGAATAGTGCTAACAGTTTTTTTATAGTAAACTTTTATTCTTCAATAAAGGTAACAAATACAGCTCAGGGAAAATAAAAGCCATCTTTGCAATAAAAGTAGACTGTTCAATTGATAAATATGGTGTAAATGACTAGCTAAAATAATTATTGACAAGTTAGATAACGCTACTTTCCGTGGCGTACAATGTAGCTAATTTTTCTATTTGTGCTTTTTTTTAGGCGTAAGTCTATGTTGCATTTGCGACGTAAGTATGCTATGGCAGTGCCGTTCGTTTCCCCGGGGAACTTTTGGACCACGTGGTCTGCAGTGAAATGAGAAATGAAGCATCCCTTTGTCACATTATGTCAGCTATACCCAGTGATATTTTTTAATCAACTGGTTTCAGGAAAATTGGGGGCCCATGTCATGTTGATGCAGTCTTCATGTGTGTCGTGCGACTCGGCGGACATTACATGGGCGAATAACCCTGGCAACATTTTTTTAAGTAATTAAAATCCGTAAATTTACTTTTCTTTATTATTGCTGTTTTAGAGGCAGTCGTTATTAGAGCCTAACACAATCAAAACTATTCACGAAACAGCCAAGGGGCTTTAAGATATTTATTTATCAAATTTCGCACTTTTTTCCTCGATTCAAGAACCACGCGCGGCAGGGGCGGGCAAAGTGGAGGGTGACTTAGCGGTTTTGACATGGCATATCGGTGATGGCATGTTTGTTTGTGTTAGCGAGAACTACTCATACTGGAGTTCTATGCATTATTTAATTTTCTAGTGAAGTTACAAACCTCATAAAGTGCTGTCGCATTCAGCATGAACGAGGTTGCACTCATTTGACAGCGTGCCTTTGGTGGATGCTCCAGCATCATACTTCCAACGGTTCGACTGAAGGGAATACGTAAGAATAGCATCCTGCGCTCTGTCCAACGCGCTGTTTTTAACCTGGCGACGAAAGGCAGTTTTAGCTATGAATAACCCGAAACTCGTCACCTTTTCGCAAATTGTTTGAGTTGTGCTAGAGTTTATTTATAGCCCCTTTAAAATTGAAAATTCAACATGGGCAATTACACTGTCAATTAAAAAATCTAATTAGACAACGTACTGTGACGTTTATTTACTCATGTAATGTCGACCGAGCACCACAAATATTCTGTGAAAACGGCATCGGCCTATCTATCGCGTTTTTAGTGTGTTGATGTTAAAAATCGCACTATATATATATATATATATATATATATATATATATATATATATATATATATATATATATATATATATATATATATATATATATATACCCGTTATTATAATTTGAGTACACCGACTGCAAGCACTGAAAGTAGACCTTTAGTATACTTAAGTGCACTTTCTGTAAACTGATTTTGAACTACTTTTTACCGCGGGCACTACGATTCTACTACATGTACTAGTTTTGTACGGACGAGTGTACTTTCAGTCCACCGCCATTTTTACTAGAAGTGTACTTTAAGGACACTTAAAGTATCTAATCAGTACAAAGACCGCACTGAAAGTATACTTTTAGTATACTTCAGTGCACTTCGAGTGTACTGATTTTGAACGACTTTTCGCTAAGGGAGTGATCCGTACTCGGAAACCGAGCTAATGACGATCACAACGCCACCATTTCTCCCGCAGCGGCCACTACGAAAACTGCACGTGACTTCTATTTTGGCTATAATCGGCCATTTTGGCGCCGAAACAGATACGGTAGAAGGGGTTTAAGGGCGCCACCTGGCGCCACCTCCGCCTCTCAAGCAGACGCGCCGCGGATTACTGCCGAAGTTAAATGCGCCTAGGTCGGGACGCGCTACCTGAAATCACCGCTGAGGCAGGGTTGTATAAAAACAATATTAACTGTGCTGCAAAACATTGCAAACAAAAGATTTTAGAAAACATCACCCGCTCCTCATTTTGTACTAAACTCCAATAAAGATTTCTACAAAGTTAGTTTTATCTATTGGTTTTTACGCAAAAACATGCTTTATAAAAGCTCAAGGTGAACACAGTACAGACGAATGATAAAGAGTGGCGCTGTTGTCGCATTTAGCTCGGTCTCGGTGGACGCCAGCGGCCCAGGTTTCAACGGTGAGTTTCCCAACTGAGGGTTCTAGTAACGTTGCCTCTAGCGTACATTATAATAACTCTATGCTCTTGTGTTTTCACATAACTCGAGACACCTCGTGGAAAGTGTCTATTGCTATATTGTCTGGAATGCGTCTCGGACTGGTGTATTTAGCAACCTGTTCCTCCCACCCATCCAAAAAGCTGCCGTAGTGGCAACAAACTTTATTTATTTATTTATTTAAATAATAATGCCGGCCTACTTTGTGGGCTAAGGCATGTGAGTACATATGTGACATACACAACAGCAGAGCTCTAGTTATACATGGCTTCAAAAAACATTGTTGAGAAAAAGTAAAAGGCATATAGTACCGACGCTTCCCAATAAACAGAGGTAACACTTGGCAAATGATTAATCAAATGGATTTGAAACTCTATCTAAGGCGCTGACAAATAAGTCGAAGGTGGCACTGCCTGTATTGTTGTGAGGCAGGCCATTCCAGTCTCGGACAATTCTCGGAAAGAAAGAGTAGTTAAAAATGTTTTTCTACATTGAAACTCTCGAAGAAGATTGTCATGCTTCTGCCGTGTGACTCAACTAAGATTGTACACCAGATAGTGTTCGAACTGCATTCCAACTTTATCGTGTATTAATTTATACAAAACATTCAGACGCTTCAGTTTTTTGCGGGTCGATAACTGGGTTAATCTGGATAACACATAAAGGGATGACACAGACGTATGCATGCCGTATGCATTATATATAAATTGCAGTGCCTTTTTTTGCACTCCCTCAAGTTTGTCAATCAATGACTGTGAATACGGGTCCCATAAAATGTCCGCGTATTCCAAGAATGGACAAATCATAGTGTACGCAACAAGCTTAGTGAACAAAAGGTAAGGGCACAAACAAGCTGGTGGTGGTTCAACATTTGGAGAAAAAAAAAACAACCCAGAGCTGTGTTTGAGAATTTGTGTTTGTCCGTCCCTTATTGTCCCAGTCTCGTATTTTTTTTTTTTTTTTAATGTTCAACAAGTTCAGTTTCCCGGGAAATGACTTTACAAAAGCCGGAGTGTCACGCTGTCGGTTGTCGCGATCCTGGCGGCTGGACGCTGAGGTTCCGGGGAAAAAGTACGAGTGAATGAGAGTGTGGCTGACGCCCCGGGAATTCAACTTCTGGCTGCCGAAGCTTCCGTGGCCTGTCACGCTGAAGAACGACCTGCAGCAAAACAGGTGTTTGCCACTTCCACCAGCGCTGCCGGGACACCGCCAGGGTCGCGGCAGGCGACAACGTGACACTTCTTTGACGTCATCTGGCGGAAATGAAGGGACAATCTTATTTAGACGCGGTAAACACGATCGTCCGAGACGCCGCCACCATGCTGTTACTACTAACCTGACAAATGTTATTGGCTGCAATTTTTAAAACCATTTTAGCGCATGAGGTAATAATGTGCAGGTCCACGGAACAAGTTTGTTGCGGGAACGAAGAACTTGTTAATTTTCGCATGCGTTAAAGGTGGACTGATTAAGCTCGGCATCGCGGTGCGGAAACCCGCCCAGGAAAGCGAGCGAGGTGCATGATACGTAAAAACTAGGCATAAACAATAACCTCAAAATTTAGGATAGCTTGTAAGTGTTATTGTTTATTGAATGACAAAACGCACCGACATTCCAGCACTCACCGAAAGTTGAAGGCACACATTTAAACTTTTTCGCAATGCAGGATATTTGATAGATGCAAATACTAGAAGCTTATATTATTATTAAGTTCTAAATTAAATTAAGATTTGGACGTGTTACTTTTCGCGTGGTCAGAAAATAGAGATGAGCTGTGCGTACGAAGTCTGAGGAGATTAAAGATTTATTATTGCGTAAAGTAGGGTTAACGATACTAACGAACGATTCTATGGTGTTGTAACGTGCGCATTTAGAAAAGAAAACGCTCGATAGTATGTTTACTTTGATTATTAATAAAATCTTGATTGATGGGAAGCACAATAGGTCCTTTTTTGAGTGGAGGAAGGAATTCATATATTTTCTACACTTGCAAAAAATGATGAACTGGTCCTCACATTTGATAAGTTTTTTTTTTTAGTTATTCGAGGTCGAAATATGTGTTATTGTGTTAGCATGTTCTCTGCTTTACAATTCATTTCTTTTACTATCCTATACAGAACCACCTCACCCAGATGTGGGCGTGCAGCGTGGCGGCGGCCATGACACGACCGCTTACAGGGCAAGCGAAGATCCATACGAGATCGGCAGCTCCGCTAAAAGCCCGCCACTCAGGAGTTGCAAGTTTCCAGAACGTCAAATGTCTCTCTATGCGGCCAATGGAAACGTCCGCGTTCTTCCGAACGACAACGTCGCTCATGGTACGGTGCTTCGCTTCCACTGTAGGCCCCTGGGCCAAATAAGGCTCGTGGGGAACGAATCGTCCCAGTGCATCAACGGCAGGTGGAGCAACGAGGTGCCGAACTGCTATGAGCCAGGCCCATATGACGTTGTGATTCGCCTTAAAGATACTGCAGGGACAGCCGTGAGTCCGGACGGACACCTTAACATCGATCCTCGATTTGAAGTGGAGATGGAATGCGGAAGCCACTATCATTTTCCGCGACTAGAGATGATTGAGCCGGTATCCAGCTGGAAGAGGGAAGGTGAGTCCACCTTGTTGAAGTTTTATATAGATATCGTATATAGGAAGCTTCTCCATACTTAAAGCTGTAAAAAAACAAAAGACTGTTGAAACAGCGCACTACAAACTAGAAAAAAATGACCCACTGTTTTCAATCAAAAACAACTAGGCGGTTATGTAAAACCATGCTTGGTTTAAATCATGGCACAATACTGACTGCCCGAAATGACTATAATTATAGTAAATGAATAAATCAATAAAACTTTAATCAATTATGTCAGTATATATACTTACTACTTTTACGTGTCTGAAATAAATATGTATATTGACTTTATACCAGCAAAAAAACAAATAGGTTTAAATAAATATTTCACTGCAAAATAAGTACTGAATGAAGACTAACCAGGAATTTCGAACACGTGCTCTTTTATATTTTTAATCTTTGGTTTATAACTATATACTAAACGTCCGCAGGGGTTTAGTTCATACCCGCTAATATTTTCACACCAACTAAACTTATTTGACATTATTTTTGCCTGATATAACAATATATAAACGAGGTTAGATTGAAAAGTTTCCTGAATCGCCAATAGGGGACTTTTGTTTCCAAAATATTTTATGTCGATGTGTTGGCATCTCTTTCGTATGAAATGACGACAAACGTCAGATAGATATCTAAAAAAAGCCTGGCTTTGAGAAGCATTCTAGTCGAGCAACCATGAACAGTTTCAATTATGGAGAAAGTCGAGATACGAGCGGTCAACAAATTTGTTTTATTTTGAAGGGTAATACCGCGACGGAATTGAAGTCCAGGTTGAATGCTGTTCTTTGGAACTCATCACCTTCGTTTTCTATCACGAGGTTTTGGAATTCCGAATTCAAGCGTGGTGGTACGGAAACAAGTGATGATCCATGTTTAGGACGTCCAAAAACAACTCCACACCAGAAATTGTGGATAAAATATATGACCTGGTTTAGAAGATCGCGACATTAAAGTTTGTGAAATTGATGAAGCAGTGGGCATCTCTTCTGTACGAGTTGTTCATCTTTTACACGATAAATTGGGGTTAAAGAAACTTTCTGCTAGATGGCTACAGCAATTGCTCAATCCGGATCAAAAAACGCACTCGAGCCCGAAGGGCAGCCGACAGTTTGCGCATTTTTAGGCAAATCCGACGTATTTCAAGCGACAATATGTAACTATGAACGAGAACTGTGTCCATCCTTACAGACCAGAAACAAAAAGTCAATCTGAGCAATAGACTGGGCCCGGTGAATCAGCTCCAAAGAAGGCAAATACCATTCAGTGGGCAGGCAAGGTGATGACACCAGTTTTTTGGGGGCCGCAAATTAATTTTGCTTATTTATTATCTGGAAAAGGGAAACAATGTTACTCGTCAATACTGCATAACAGTTCTGGACAAGCTAAAACAAGTAACTTTTAGGAAAAACACCAGGGAACGGTAAAGAAACAGGCGTTGTTTCATTATAAGAACGTACCAGCCCATACAAGTGCAGTAGCTTATAATAACTGAGAGAAGTGAAGCTCAAAATCTTTCCGCATTTACCGTATTCACCCGATCTGGCTCCCTCGGACTTCCACCTAATCTTGAAGCTCAAAACCTTCCTGGATGGAAAGAGATTTCCGACGAATGAATGATGTAATGGAGGCTGTGAACAGTTATTTTGGGGAACTTGAAGAAAGTCACTTCCGGTAGGAAATCGAAAAGATAGAAAAGCGTTGGACCAAGTCTGTCGAGCGTTGAGGGATTGTGCCGGAGGTAGAGTATAAATTGAATCCAATTTATATTGTTCCCTCTTTCATTCCGCACACTTTTCATCTACCCTTGTACGTATTAAAAATGTGAACGTTTTAGTTGTATTTTTGGAGCACTGTGTTTTCAATAGCGACTGGTCCTACTCTTTATTATTTTCATTCCCCAGGAAAGCATTACTTTATAAATAAACAAACATACTGAATTACGGTCCGTTGCCAAGTCTTTTTTACGTATTTAACATATACTTTGTGTATTGCGTATTTCGTATTTATTTACACGTTAGGGAATGTTTTTTCGATTGTACGTAAATAAAAAAAAAATGTATTTCAAATTTTTGTATTTCCAACACTGGCCCAAATACAATTTTGGTCACAGTTGTTTGCAACTACAATGATTTTGGCACTCTTCGTTGAGAAAATAAATATCGAATAAAAATAAGGAAGAGACGAACAAGGGGTGAGCTGGATGGGTATACAAGTGTTGATTTATTAGTTGGATCCTTTTATTTTTTAACTCTTATATTAACGGAAGGCTGCTTGAAAAGACTGTGTTTTTAAATAAAACTTTAAAATTAGGCATGCTTTGAATACATCTTTCGTCATCTTGTACCCACCTATCGTACGCCAAATAACTTTTATGTTTAAATCTGCAACTTTATTTATTTAGAACTTGATATACACTCCACATCTTAATTCGGCGCTGACTTTTTTATTCGGGATTAAATTTAAGTTTAGTATGTCAAACTATGGGACCAAAAAGTATTTGTAAAAGTATCTGAAGATGGTAATATCGTTGTGCTTGTATTTTGTATTTAAATATTTTTTTAATTGTAGGCGGGCATGTCATTAAATGCATTTTTGCCGAAGTATTTGGTATTGGTAGTTCGATACATTTCTGCGAATATTTTGCCATCCCTGCTAGCAACCTTTGCCTAACAGACGCAGACAAGGAATGAAAACGGCGCCACGTGAGTCTTTTACAGCTGGGCAAAGCTATTTGACGCCTGTCTGTTTGTTTCTTTTTTGCTCATTGGTCCTCGGCCAAGTTAAATATGCGAAATACGAATAAATGGGGAAGGTTATACTACAACCCATCAATGTTGTCCACACTGTAACAGCTTCAAGATTTATTGATGGCCTGATGGTAACAAACTTTTTTTTTTCTATTTTAGGTGTACGTTCTATCAGGAAATCATATCGTTGGAAGGAAAATTACGTGTCAGCAAAATTCATTCTTCCTGAGGATTACGAGGGAATTGTTCGTTGCTCAAACGATTTCAAATATTCCACTCAAATAATTAAAATTCGCGGCCGTGGTAAGTACTGAGTTATGTTTATTGAATGTGATGTAGCTGGCCGGTCTTATATTTTATGAACAGATGTCATGTACATCACTACGCCAGTGAATAAATCATCGTAGAATCGGCGACGGTATAATCGTAACAAAAGCGAAAATTCTGAATATTAAGATCCACAGAGAGTACCACATAGATTGCATTGTGATTGCCCCGCTGGTTTTATTTGTGGTTCCTTGGCTTGGTGGACCTTGAAGGGTTTATTTAGCGGTTATAGTTGGCAACGCCTTTTTCAGTTGGCTTAGGCATATCAAAGCCTTACAATAAAGATCTGTTCTCCGTGCCTGCATCAGGTATTCCAGGAAAGTTTAAATGAAGAATAAATAGGCATTAAATTGTCCAGCTAAACAAACGCGCTTATGGACGAAAAAGATATGCGAGAACTGGTATATCTTTTAGCAGAATCGCAGCCAATGTAGTCTAAAGTTTTACTGTTTTGTTAGGGAAGAGAAATTATTCGGTTAACCTACCAATTAATCAGTGATTGCGGTAATAAACGACCTTATTTTTAACCAAATAATCCTTCAAAAGTGGACCCTTCAATGGAGTTGTCACTGGCATTATTTTAGTGATACTTCTATCAATTGCTATATTTGTAATCGTGAGAATCATTGAGAAAAATACAACTTATACTTCCTTGATATGTATTCTGTGTGTAAAAGTATATTATCGGAAGTGTACCATTTTTTGTTATTGTTTTAAAATATCAGTACTTTACTGACAACCTACTCTCAAAGAATATAAACTTGCCTAACAGTTTATTGTCCTTCTGTTAGAAAACATTTATTATTGGCATTGTGTTTCGTTTTCTATGTTGCTACTGCATTTGGGGGCAAGGAACTTGTAGAAGCATTGCTTTTTTTAGTCCACTGCCTAATATGTGAAACAACGAAAAATCATTTCCCAGCAAATAACACATTTCTCACATGTTTCAGATATAGATAGCTATTAGTATATGGCAGCTTGATGTTCATAGAAGGTGCATGGATTTCTTAATGTCCTCTATCCCTATACTGCAAACAACCCAAAGCTTTTAAATGTGTGCCAAAAAAATGGCTTCACTAAGCTTCTTGTTTTTGAATCGTAAAGACTGCAGATTTCAACGATTGAGACCCCAAAAGTATAGTGCTATAATTTCTCACTTTATTTAGGAATTTATTAATCTTGATATTTTAATAGTATCAAATAAGTTATTTGTTATTCGACTGAAGGTCACGAGTTAATCGTTTACACATTGTTAACCGGAACACGCCCCCAGTTTTTCTTTTAACTAAAGCTTCATTTTTCACGCACTAGATCTACACTCCTGCAAAATTCCTGCCCATTTGGATGCGACTCTGGTCACATGGGAAAACAATGAGGTTGTCTCAGTCGCCTGCAAACTCCCTTACGTTCTGAGAGGCGAAGCGAGAGCTGTTTGTCTTGCACACAGCGAATGGGAGAAACCATTTCCCGAATGTGTTCTCCCGGCACCTACAAACATTTCCAACGAACACGGGAACGTGAGCATGCAGTCCGCCAAGCCCGTTCTTGAACAAACTACTGAAGTACCACGCCTGAAAGGTACGTATTACACATTCAATTATACGAGATGGGAAACTGGTTCATTCTTTGCGCAATTTTCTCCAAAGAGAAGTTTAATTTTAGCTGGTCAATATGACGGCAGCTTAAATGCTATTTTTTTTAAATACCCATTTTGCTAAAAGCTCTTCTGTTAAATGGGCTGCTGTCACACGGCCGACCTAATGCCATTTACCGCTGACGTTGCCTAAAGTGGAGCGGGACACTATTTTAGTTGAAACCGACACTACACATATTATTCCAATATTATTAACGCCGTTTCAAATGTTTTACACTGGTTTTATTTGAAACTTAATCCGTGTTCTGTTTGAAACAAATACTCACGTGATAGCATATTTTCTGCGATGAGCGAAACTGTCTTAAGAAATAAAACATTTCAGTGGTTTAGTAAGCAATTGGAAGTTCCAAGCCATAAAATACGCCAAAACCTCGATCTGAGTTATGAAAAATTTGACCACCGTTTACATACTGTTAACTTTACTCAGCCTATTAAGATTTGTTCACGTATCAGAAACTACTGCAAACATTTCTATGAGAGCACAACTTATTTTTTGCTTCTCTGATAATTGCTTTACAAAGTAGTAAGCTTGCTACCCTAAGCAATTTTCTCTCATATTCAGATTGTATTAAATCAATAGCCATGAACTTTGCCATGAAGCAGTACCAGTGGCCTTGGAAATAAGCTATTTGATTATACAGGCTGTTGAAATAATTTTAATTCGAAACGATGTTTCGTTTTCACCATGCATCTATCAGACTTGGCAGACGTTAGTTGGCGGGATAATTGTCATTATGAGTTGGGTAATTAATAAAAAAAAATGTTAATAAACATTTAATTATTGCTTTGAGGGGTCATGCTTGAATTGCAGTATTGAGGGCAATTACTATTGGAGGCCAGACCACCTTAAAGAATTTGCGAGGAAATAATGGTTTTTGGGGTATTAATCGATAAAATATGGAGTTTTTTCCCGCACAATCTAAAATAGTAAAAAAAAAAAAAAGGCAGCTCTTCACGCAAGCTCTGCTCGCAATGACGCTCGGAAGAGTGACGTAACCGCATCAATCATGTCGCCACTATCTCGGCAGCGTGTTCTTGGTGGTTTCTCCGGCAACAGAAGTAACCAGGTGACTTAAACACGTGACTTTTCTAAGCGTCGTTGGGGACAGGGGTTGCGGCGCACATTTTGCGCGCAATAAATATAGATCGGGTGAAAGAGCGCAAAAAATAATATTAATATTCTAAAAATCATTATCTTTCCGCAAATGTTTATATTAGACTGACCTCCAATAGTAACTGCCGTCAATACTGCCCTGCAACATAACCTTTAAAACCAATAATTAGAAATTTATATAACCTATTTTACTTAGCCTACTTATCGTGACGATTATCTCATCATCTAACGTCCGCCGAGCCTCATAAATGCATGGTAAAGACGGCACTCGCCTAACCCTCACCCCTTATGAAATCTGTTCGAAATCAAATTAAATACTCTGTATACCGTCCAAGTGGGTGAAGTTCATCAAAATAAGAATTATATCCGGCTCGGAACGGGTCAAATAACTCAGAATTAGGAGAGCGTGTTGATTAAACATCTTCGTGTGCGAACGCCAAAGGAGACAAGAGACACACAAAGACACGTGTCTGACGTGTTTTTGTGTGTTCCTTGTTTCTGTCGAATAACGTAACAGCGCACAACAAGAGAAACACTCGCAAACTCAGACACACCAAAAAATATACACTCACACGGCGCTGACTCACAACTCTTGGATTTGTATTGTCTTCTTCTTCTATGCAAAAAGACGGACCTCCTCTTTTTCTATGTCCTAAGAAAGAGATGAAAAACCTGAAAAACCGCACAAATTCGACCGGTGTTTAAGTTTCGGTTTGCTATCGGAGCGCATCTCAGCCCCGGCGTCACCCCGCCCCGTGGAGAGATAGTGCAACAAGGCTCTGCTGCGTCGCGTGATGACACATGATATGCGTCTCGCGAAACTTAAAAACCCGTCGATTTTGTGTGCGGTTTTTCAGAAAGCCGTAAAATGCTTCGCGTGCCTTCTATCATTCTGCAATTTGCTGATTTAGTGTTTTTTTTTATGATGCTGAGCAATTTTCTAATTTAAACCATGCCCTTAAACACAATAATAAACAGTTAATTACGCAAAAATAATCAACAACCTAATTATCTCGGACTTTAATAATTTTCCTAAATAGGCCCCTGGCCTAGGACCAGAACGCCACAAGCCTTTTTTTCGTTGCGATGAGTAGTTTTCGCAGGAGTGATTTGGGCTGCGTTCTTTGAAACACCCTATATGAATATATATATATCCCGCCACCATGCCCGTTATATATATATATATATATATATATATATATATATATACGGAAGAAAACGCACCTCAGACGGTTGTTGGAGTTTTTAAAACATATTATTGGTAAAGTTGGTCGACGTTTCGGCCTGAGCCAGACCTTTCTCGAGAACAACCGTCTCAGGTGCGTTTTCTTCCGTATATACTTTTCGTCGTCCTGCGCTTCGTTTCTCTCTCTCTCTCTCTCTCTATATATATATATATATATAACGGGCATGGTGGCGGGGGGCCGAAGGCGTGGGTATAGAAGAACAAAAACCCTTAGTGAAAACAGCAACAACGGACGATTTATTCTTCGACGTTTCGGCCGGAGTCCGGCCGAAACGTCGAAGATCAAATCGTCCGTTGTTGCTGTTTTCACTTAGGGTTTTCTTCTTCGTCTCTCTCTCTCTCTATATATATATAGTTTCTTAACTTTTTGTGTTGATTTTTCATGTGGCTCAGAGTCACTAAATATGAATATGGACTGATATATATATATATATATATATATATATATATATATATATATATATATATATGTATATTTGGCAATGGCCTATAATTTATTTATTTATTTATACATACATATGTACATACATACTGCCGGCTGCCATTTGGCAGCCAAGGCAGGGGAGGGGGCACATGGGGCAACACACAAGGATAAAACCACATTACACGCTAATGGAAGAAAGAGCATCTAGGACTGCACATCTAAGAAATACCGCTGTAATGATGAGGCAAATTCTTGAACGAACGAGACATTGGTAATGTTGGCAGGGAGACTATTCCATTCGTTAATGGTTCGTACGAAAAAGTGGTTTTTTAAACATTGGGTTCTTCTGTAAGGTACCACAATTGTGTTGGAGTGTTTGTGTCGTGTGTGAAGGGATGTGTTAAATTGCTTAAATGTGTAGAATGAAAGGCGGCTCATGAGAAGTGTCGTCACTATATTCAAATTTAGGTGTCAACTATTCGTAAGTTATGCCGTTTGTTTGGGCAACGGTTACGCGATTTCGGCAGTGCTAGTTGTTTGTGGTAAGTGTGATTTCTTGTTAGTCCTCAATCATGACATCCGCACATTGACGTGAGCATTTTTGGGAACATCTATAAACAATTCAGAATTTCTCATGTTCAAAAACATTTAAAACACATCGTGTTTTATTTTCCTTTTTTTTAACGGTACCGACGGCTTAAATTACATGCAGCACTTTCCATGGCAGTGCTGAATTCCATCGGTTTGTTCTGGAAAATAGCTTGTCAGACAGGGCACAAGTTTGTTTGTATTATTTCAATGCAAACTCTAAAATATGTATCATAGTGTTTTTTTTTTTCTGTATGACTTGAAGAACCTTCAAACCAAAAATGTAAGGTTTCGCCAATTGAGAACGCAGTTTATCGAAGCAACGTGAATATCAGCTCTCCCGAGGTAAGAACCGCAGTCTCGTTTTTCATGTTTTTTCTTCTGCGCTACCGAGTTAATGGACGCAGAACGCTTATTCTGGGCTTCCTAGACTTTCCCAATACGCTCTTTGCGCTGGTGTTTAAAAATGAAAAAAGTTGTAGCGCCATCTGGCAGTCAAAATAGGAACTATTGGTATGTCCCAGGCGCTCCGTTTCCGCGGGCGATCCAGCGTTTTCCAAGCCTTGTTACGGTGCCCACTGCATTGCAGGAAAAAAAGAAAAAAATATAACCGCTGATTTTCATGTGTCGCGTGCACGACTTCCTCAACGGCTGAATGAATAAAGCTGAAGAGGCTATCTTCTGGGAAATTGTAGCGCTTTCCACGCAAGTCGTAGGAAGTCGAGTCGGTGGAGCTTCGACGACAATGAATCGCAGCGGTTCCACGCTGTGACCCGCCATGTGAGCTCCGTTCGCGTCGTCCTTTCTTAAATCTTTACGCAGCCCCACGATGCAGATTTGCCTGTAGCTGGCATCGGCATCGCTTTGGTTCAAAGCCCTAGTGGCAGTTCGTTAACGGACAAGTCCTAAAGTGCCTACTTCGCGGGGAACGAAATGAGCGTCACCACCATGCTTAGATCACTAGATTTTTTTCTACTTTATCAAAAAGAAAGGTAACCTGGCGGCACGAAGCATAACGTGGCTGCGGCACTATAGACCAAAAAACATAAACCTTTTTTTCCTAGCTTCACGATTCAGATTTGTCTGTAGCCAGTGACAATCCGTGAACGGAGAAGTTAAGTTGATTCTATTTGGCTCGTCGACGACGGCCGCAATGATTGCGTTACCCAGACTCAGGACGCAGCTGCGGACAAAATCGCCAACGCGATACCGCGTTGTGCTAGTCATGGACGTTGGCTTTGAGAGTGCGATTCTCTCCCAGGTTAAGAAGTATCTGTAGACTATTTCAGGCGACCCGCACCGCTTACCGCAATGAGATTTGGAACTCTGGAGACACATCATCTTCATCTTTGATGCGGAAGGCGCAGCGAAGGGGCAAAAAGGATCGACAACTGTACTCCCTACTAGGACGACGCGGCGTAAAATATTCGCTGGGTAAATCGTCACGCTTAAGAGTAGAAAAAAAAAAAAAAAACAATGCAAACGGTCGTCGTAGAATCCCCTGCGCGAAACATTTCTTCACGACTTCGCCAACCCGCTACAGGCCGCGGCGTAAATCATCCACTTTTCCTGAAAAAAAAAACAAAAAAAACACCAACAGGTGACTGCCAGCATAAAGCTACTTTAGGCCTAGCCTGAAACGCTTTGCTTTAAAATATATTACAGCGTTATTTATTCTGGTGAGTCGGAAAAGCGCGCCGCACGGTCCATCCCGCCGTCCCATAAGCCCCGCTTCCGCATGGGAACATACCATTGGTTCTTAAACCAACCACAGGAGGCGCTGATGGCGCGAGAGACGGTGGCACCATAGCGGCACACACGGAGCGTATTCTCGCCTTCTGCGCCGCCATCTTTGTTTGCTGGGCAGTGGAAGGCGTTCTGGGCGTGCGCAGTATAGTTCTCTTACGCAAAATGTGAGACGGCGCACATGTGTCCCAATGACTCAGTATTTCTCGCCTCAGTGATAAGCGCTGGAAAAGTCTATGGTCGGTGACAGGTTGAAAGTTGTTCGCGGGAAGCTCCTCCCACATCTTTCCGCTTTAGAAGAGCCAACGATGGAGAGGACGTGACTTCCTCGCACACCTCCTAGATAAGAAAGTGCTTCCCGCGTCACTAAAGAAGGCCCCACACAGATTGGAGACGACTGCTGCGTCACCATTCGGCGGCCACTCGTGTCCAATCAGTGAAGAGAACGCTGACACAGAGGTGGTGTCCAATTTGTGTCAGGCCTCGTTTAGTGACGCAGGAAGCACTTTCTTATCCGGGAGCTCTCTCTGCCTCTCCGGCGCTCGTATATCTGAAGTGGAGAGAGGTGGGAAAAGTTTCCCTGGATTTTAAAACTTTTTCTGGGGTTCTACTTTACATTCTTTCATTGTAGTGTAGTACAAAAATGGAATATACCGTATTTACTCGAGTAATAGCCGCACTGTTTATGAAGAAAATCTGAGGGTTCGCTTTTCCGCGGAGCACGCAGATGGCCAATCACAGCGACCGACAGCATGATTCCAGCGGTTTACAGGACAGAGATAACGTCTTCGTGCGAAGATACCATCTGTGAAGATTGCATTTGTATGGAAAATTGTGTTCTCAGTCTAGTTATTCGGTATGCCATTTATGCGCAACGCGATGATTGGCTGTAAATGTGCTTTGCGGGAAACAAGACACAAGGGCCTTGTTCATAAATAGTGCGGCTATTACTCGAGAAAATACGGTATACGTTCTTTTTTTTTTTTTTTTTTTGAGCGCTTTTTTTTTGTCGTGGTGTTGCAAAGGAAAAAGAGTTTGGGGGACAGAGGTAACGTACAAGTACCGCGTAGATTATTTGAGGTTCGATGCGACTACGGGAGTCAAGTAGCTAAAGGCCACTAAAGAATTATGGATTCATTTTACGGCAGAATTTGAGAACCCGTTGGGCGGGTTATTAAGGAAGACAATAGAGACCTATACATTTATAAAGTTGCATCCCGTACGTTGGTAGTTTTACATTGAAGTTTTAGTATACTGACGGGGATTAGATGTATGCAGAGCATAGTATTGCTCCCGTTGTAGCTTTTTATTATTTAGCCTTGTATAATAAAAAAATAAACGCCAGCCAACCCGTTTTGGTGCATCAAATAAAAAAGATAATTCCAGAAAGCCTATTTGATCTTGAAGAATCTTTGTTTCAGATACAACTCGATAAACAGTTTGCCAACGGCACCTCCATTTACTTCCACTGTCGCGGTGATCGAACAAGTTACAGAATACGTTGCTTGGAAGGTTTCTGGAAACCGGCTCCAAGCTGTCTTCCAGGTAACGGTGTAAAATTTACTTTCGCAAAAGGTTGATAACAATAGTCAATCAGTGCTTTGTGCAAACGAAACCGACTTAGTATTTATACATGCATGATGGACAACTGCATTTAGTAATACGTAGTTAAATACAAAACACTCAGTGTTTTAAAAGCAATATTTGAAATCCTGCCCAAGGGTAGCGGCTTGCCCCTCAGAGAAGCCCATGTCTCGTCCGATTTTTTTTTTCTTTCTTTGTACGTCAACATTTTCGTTTCACTCTACTCCATACTGTCTGAAGCCCTCTACACTCTGCAAAACTGTTAACACAACCACGCCATCGCCTGATTTGTTTGTCTTCTTGTATTGAAGAACTGTCATCAGAACTACCATGGAAATGAAAACTACTCAGTTTGGGTACTAATCTAAGTGTTAAATTTGATGCCCGCCAGTACCCCTTCGAATTGAAATTCAAAAAAGCGCCAAAGTCGTGTTTGCCCTAACAGGTTCGTTCAGCGTACCAGAATTCCGGAAATCCGATGCACCTCATCCTCCCGGTTCGTTTCCTTTGCTTATATTGACGCAAAGGAGGGGAAGGGTCTGAGACATTGATGTCGCGTTTGATATGAAGTCGGGGAGGCGTACGCATGCGGTCAATTTGGATTTTTATTAGATCTTGTAATGTAAATAGTAAATCAATTTACAGATAAAAAAAGATGGCTGGAAACATGTTTAGTGCACCTTCAGAAGTAAATATAGCGCACTATTCAACCGTCATTTAGAGATGGTGCAGGGAAAGAAGAGTCTGGCGAACTGTCAACTGTTTAGCATGCAGCAATATGGAAGAACAGTCTGTGTGAGGTTGCATCAATTCGTTGGCTGATAGTCACCATAATTAGCCGCTCATAAAGTAACAGCTATTCATTAAAATTTTGAGCCTGTCAATCGACGAAGTGAGAAAGTTGACCTAGACGGCGTGTTATATTTGTCGCTATTTAGTTCTGCCAAAAACGTTGTCCCCAGACTCACCTTGTGATGTTGTTTCAATATCCCTTGCCAAGCATCGTATGAGTTCCTCTTATTTTTCTCCCAAACTACAGAAGAACAGACATGTGATGTGAATAACTTTCTGAGCCGTGTACCTCCTGAAGTCGTCATTGAAGCAAATGCGTCGGAAGTTGCCGCTGGGACTGTCTATCACGCCTTCTGTAAGAACACCGGTTACATCTTCGATGGACGGAGCAGAGTTGTCTGCAACGCCGACGGCAAGTGGGCTTTCGATCCAAGCATGAGGTGTAAGTCCTCGATACTTTTATTATCAACTTCACTCGTCGAAAAAAGCCTGTGCTTCGGAGTTTTGGCGAATTATTACTGTATTTTTTACTGCGATAATAACCGCTCTGACTTCACGGTCAAATTGCGACTACGCACCTGAGTCTCAGCATGCAAGTCAAAATGTATAATCTACGAGAGGGCTTTTGCAGAAAGCAGTGTGTTTAATATGTAATTTTCTTGTTATAAACTTGCCCAGTCTTCAGCTCTTCGAACAGAAATACAGGAGAATAAAAGAAAACTATTTAATCTTTTAAAATGGCAACTGCCATTATTTCATTTTTGATACCAACTTTGAAATAACCAGTGAAAAAGCCGCAGCAAATTGTAGAATAACTTTCAGCGGAATTCGAAGCGCCTGAATTGTATACATATGTTAGACATCTCTCAACCATTAAGTTGGAAATCGTAGGCTAAGGCGCATATATTGATTATTCTTCAACAATTTTACTTCGATCATTTTGATCTACTGTGGATCTGAAGTAAATGAAAAGAAGTCATTTAACAAAATTCATATCTGTTTTAGAAACAGCACCTTCTTTACTTTCTTTTTTTAATTAGTGCATCACTAGGCGGCCTCCTTGGTATGTAATATTACGTCTTCGGACCATTTCGAGGGGGGGGGGGGGGGAGGGGATCCTCAAGGAAACTTCGCAGTGGAAGCTGTCGTTTTGTAAACAGCCTTAGCTAAGGCTCTTGATAAACATCGGCTGCCGGTCTGAAGCTTTCAGAGGGCTTCTTTTCAAGTTTTGCTTGCCAGCTTCTACAGCCCTTATAAGGGATTAAAAGGTTTTGTAACCTGTTTCTACCCTACCCATTTTATGAAAGAACGTGTTTTTCTTTTTATGTGTACGGTTTTGGTTTCCTTTTCAGGCAATCGCTCGTGTGCTATTCCACCTCTCGCACCAGGAGTAAACATAGTGCGGCGGACTGCTGCAGAGATGAGATTTGCTTGCCAGAGAAACTTGGCACTCGAGGGTCCCGAACAGATACATTGCTCACGCACCGGAGAATGGGACGCTAAGCCACCGTTATGCGTCCAGCTTCAAAGTAAGCGATTCACCTTCCGGTACATTGAATTCACAAGAATCGATTTTGTGAGTTAACCCCAGCTACAGCTGCGTGAAAGGCGGTATGACCGGTGACTGCTCTCTGGAATGCGTCCCCGGCTAGTGCATTTATCGTTCTGCGCCTTCCATGCGTCAAGACTGGCCGTTATGAGGCGTCAACATATGGAACAGAATTAAACACGCGGCTCATTCAATCGAGTGTCACGATCTTGGCGGTTGATTTTATAAGTGCTGGCGAAGAAGAAGAGCGGACGCAATGGATCGCTGTCCGCATCAAGATGTGCCAGTTGTGACGTCACGAGGCGTTAACCGAAGAATCAAAAATGAGGAACCCACCAGTGCGAGGCACTCAAAAAGGCCGACGTACACTTCGCGCTTTCCACTTTTCCCCTCCTCCTCCTTTTCTATATCCTCTACTTTTTACCTTGCCTCAGCTTGGCTCCCCTCACAGTTAAGGAGAGGGAAGTGTTAAAAGAATTTTCTTTCCTGCAGAAAACCGAGGCTGTACATCGGCCTTTAAGCGTAATTTCAAAACGAAATTTGCCTGTCTTTTCAGTTTTTTTTTTCTTCTGGCTTGTGAAAGCAACGTAGTGCGTCAATTTACTTATATACACCAACTCATGTTTACAAACAAACCGGAGCGCCCCTAGCGGACGCCACCGGCGCCGCGCATGCACGATGGGGGTGTGGGCAAGAAGCTCGCCATCGCCCATAAACAAACCATTGAAATGCGAAGTTGTCGGCGTCGGTATGAGTCTTCCTGTTATTTTTCGCGTTCGAATTGTTGATTCTACGTCTTCCTGGCGATGTCTGACTACTTGAGCGGCGTCAGCGAAATTACCGAGGCTCTTTACACCGCGAAACTTCGCGTGAATAATGTGACATGTGGCGATTCATTCCGCGTGAACGCCGCAGTATGTACGCTAAAACCTTATTCGCATGATGAGATTTCGCTCGCAATTTTCGGTCGCGACACCGCTTGGGCTCCAAAAGCGTGAACCGTAGCTGAGATGGTCGATGTCGATACTGAAAATCGCAAGCAGAATCGGACCAAGTCAATTAGGCATAGGAAGTCAGTGATGGTCACTGGTAACAATAATCAACATCTCCTTGTATCTACTGTTTACATCCAGCCTGCTTACGAACCTTCAATCTTAAGTCTTTTGAGGCCTGCACTCACCTCTTATAGCAAGTAGCGGGCCGGCATCTGGTTTACGGGCCGGCGTCGTCTAAGAGAGCAGACGACAAGCAGGAACGTTTGAAAGAGCAGACGACAGTTCGAACGATCAGGCGGCCGTTTGAACTTGAAGACGCACTGAACGTAGTTTGCAGGTGGTTTTCTGATGTTTTCTGATGGTTTTCTGGCGTTCAAGTTGGAACAAAACAAATAAACATGATGACCATAAGTACCCGTGAATTCAACCCCAAGTGCTTCCCACCCAAGCAATCGTCATCCAACGGCGTCTGCTTTTCCCTTTTCACGGCACATATAAGATTCTCGGACGAGCCGAGCACGTGAAATCTGACCTTCAAACCTTTCTCGACTCTTTTGGTACGGCCCCAGTCGCGGCGTTTTGACGAGAAGGCAGATTTTTGTCTGGTTCCTTTCAAAACAACGCAGGAATACACGTCTGGCATGGGGACTTCTGCCCACAGCTCCAGACCAGAAGTGCGACCGACGCGCCACCACCGCGCCGTGACGTCACAGAGTTGAGTTGGTGTATAGCCTCTCACGGCAGCCTTGGAATGAAGAATAAAATCAACTTCGACATAAATTGTCCTTGAAAGATGATTTTACGTCCAGAGTGACGATCATCTATACAGCGACAATATCGCTGTTGTTCGGATAATTCCTATAAAGCTATAGAACCAGAATGCAGAACATCCAAAATGGCCTTCGCGCGGACGCTTCTGAGAATAAACGGAATTTCTATTTCAGCTACGCCGGCGCCGGGCTGTGATGTGACCGACTTTCTCATTGCGGTGCCCGACCTTGTCGTCATTAATGCGAGTGACTCGGAGGTAGCCTTGGGCGCTGTCTTCGAAGCATTTTGCAATTACGAAGGCTACATCCTGGAGGGACGCAGCCATGTTACGTGCAAAGCCAACGGAATGTGGGACTTCGATCCAAAAATGACTTGTAAGGCTGCAGTACTTTTTCTAAGTGATTTTGGCACGGTGACACTTTGCGTCGACGTTCCCGGTGTTTTTCACGCATGATAGTTTTCATGACACACCCCTCCTCAAAATTATGTAGTTACAGGGCGTCCGTTGTCGATATCACCAAGTGCGTGTAAAAGATCACCAAAACGCCCCTGCGTTTCTTTTTTAGAGCGCAGCTTTTAGGCGCCCGTTTCCGGCTTGAGCGGCGTCGCCGTCGCCTTCAGGGTAACCGCGCGTTGCAATATGGGACATTTCCCATAATGACATCACACGTGACGTCACGAGGGACACGAGTGACGTCATGAAGGTCACTGTTGAACGTTATAACGAAGGTCACAACCTTCACAGTGACCTTCACGAGGCCGTCAGGAGTGACGTCACCAGGGAGGAGGGAGGGAGGGGGGAGGAGGAAGGCAGGAGGACGGGAGGAGTAGAGGGGGTGACGGAGGAGGAGGAGGGACATGCCTTTCTTTCCGTACCCTCCCCTCCTCCTCCTCCAAAGCTGCGCTTTAATTCGGCACAACAGGGAATTGCAAACGTCGATTTTTTTTTCCTGCGATAATAACCGCGCTGACTTGAAGGTCAAATTGCGACAACGTAAGTGAGTCTCAGCGTGCAAGTCGAAATGTATCAGCTACGAGAGGGCTTTTGCAGAAAGCTAATGTTTAATATGTAATATTCTTATTATAAACTTGCCCAGTCTTCATCTCTTCAAACAGAAATCCAGGAAAATAAAAGAAAACTATTTAATCCTTTAAAATAGCAACAGCTATAATTTCATTTTTGATACGAACTTAAAAAGAACGCGTAAAAAAGCCACAGAATATTGTAGAATAACTTTCAGTGGCGTTCGAAGCGTCTGCATTGTATACATATATTTGGGAATCGTTAGTTAGGGCGCATAAATTGACTGTTTGTCAACAATGTTACTTTGATAATTTTCATTTAATGTGGATCTGAAGTAAATTAAAAGATGTCCTTTAACAAAATTCATATCTGCTTTAGAAACATTACCTTCTTTTCTTTCTTTTTTTAATTATTGCATAACTAGGCGGCCTCCCTGGTATGTAATATTACGTCTTCTGACCATTTCGGGGGGGGGGGGGGGGGGGGGTCTTTAGGGAAGCCTCGCAGTGGAAGCTGTCGTTTTGTTAACAGCCTTAGCTAAGGGTTGACAAACATCGGCTGCCGGTCTGAGGCTTCCAGGAGGCTTCTTTCCAAGTTCTGCTTGCCAGCTTTTACAGCTCTTATATGTTATTAAGAGCTTTTGTAACCTCTTTCTATTCTACCTGCCAGTGTGTGTGTTTTTTATGTATTATTTTTTTTAGGTATTCCCTCGTGTGCTATTCCATCTGTCGTACCAGGAGTAAAGGTAGTGTGGTGGACTGCGGCGAAGGTGAGATTTGCTTGCCAAAGCAACTTGGCACTCGAGGGTCCCGAGCAGATACATTGCTCACGCACCGGAGAATGGGACGCCAAGCCACCGGTATGCGTCCAGCCTCAAAGTAAGCGAATCACCTTCCGGTACATTGATTTCACAAGAATCGATTTTGTGAGTGAACCTCTAGCTACAGTTCTGACCCTGTCAATCGACGAAGTGAAAAAGTTGACATAGATGACGTGTTATAATTGTCGTTATTTAGTTTTGCCAAAAAACGATGTCCCCAGATTCAACTTGTGATGTTGTTTTAAGATCCCTTGTCAAGCATCGTATGAGCTCCTATAATTTTTCTCCCAACTACAGAGGAACAGACATGTAATGTGAATAACTTTAAGAGCCGCGTACCTCCTGAAGTCGTCATTGAAGAAAATGCGCCAGAAGCTGCCGCAGGGACTGTGTATCACGCCTTCTGTAAGAACACCGATCACATCTTCAATGGACAGAGCAGAGTTTTCTGCAACGCCGACGGCACGTGGAGTTTCGATGCAAGAATGAGTTGTAAGTCCTCGCTGCTTTTATTATCAACTTCACGCGTTGAAAAAAGCCTGTACTTCGACGTTTTGGCGAATTCTTACAGCATTCTTTTACTGCAATGACAATCGCGCTGACTTCATGGTCAAATTGCGACTACGTACATGAGTCTCAGCATGCAAGTCGAAATGTATCAGCTACGAGAAGGCTTTTGCAGAAAGCAGTGAGTTTAATACGTAATTTTCTTGTTATAAACTTGCCCAGTCATCAGCTCTTCGAACAGAAATACAGGAGTATAAAAGAAAACTATTTAATCTTTTAAAATAGCAACTGCTATTATTTCATTTTTGATACCAGCTTTGAAATAACCAGTGAAAAAGACCCAGCAAATTGTAGAATAACTTTCAGCGGAATTCAAAGCGCCTGAATTGTATACATATATTAGATATCTCTTAACCATTAACTTGGAAATCGTTGGTTAAGGCGCATATATTGATTATTTTTCAACAATTTTACTTCGATAATTTTCATCTAATGTGGATCTGAAGTAAATTAAAAGAAGTCCTTTAACAAAATTTATATCTGTTTTAGAAACATCACCTTCTTTTCTTTCTTTTTGAATTAGTGCATCACTAGGCGGCCTCCTTGGTATAGAATCTTACGTCTCCTGACCATTTCGGGGGGAGGGGGGGGGGGTCTTTAGGGAAGCCTCGCAGTGGAAGCTGTCGTTTTGTTAACAGCCTGAGCTAAGGCTTGACAAACATCGGCTGCCGGTCTGAGGCTTCCAGGAGGCTTCTTTCCAAGTTCTGCTTGCCAGCTTTTACAGCTCTGATATGTTATTAAAAGCTTTTGTAACCTCTTTCTATTCTACCTGCGAGTGTGTGTGTTTCTTATGTTTTTTTGTTTTTTTTTAGGTATTCCTTCGTGTGCTATTCCATCTCTTGCACCAGGAGTAAAGGTAGTGTGGCGGACTACGGCGGGGGTGAGATTTGGTTGCCAAAGCAACTTGGCACTCGAGGGTCCCGAGCAGATACATTGCTCACGCACCGGAGAATGGGACGCCAAGCCACCGGTATGCGTCCAGCCTCAAAGTAAGCGAACCACCTTCCGGTACATTGATTTCACAAGAATCGGTTTTGTGAGTGAACCCCTAGCTACAGCTCTGAGCCTGTCAATCGACGAAGTGAGAAAGTTCACATAGATGACGTGTTATAATTGTCGTTATTTAGTTTTGCCAAAAAACGATGTCCCCAGATTCAACTTGTGATGTTGTTTTAAGATCCCTTGTCAAGCATCGTATGAATTCCTCTTATTTTCCTCCCAACTACAGAGGAACAGACATGTAATGTGAATAACTTTCTGAGCCGTGTACCTCCTGAAGTCGTCATTGAAGAAAATGCGCCGGAAGCTGCCGCAGGGACTGTGTATCACGCCTTCTGTAAGAACACCGATCACATGTTCAATGGACATAGCAGAGTTTTCTGCAACGCCGACGGCACGTGGAGTTTCGATGCAAGAATGAGTTGTAAGTCCTCGCTGCTTTTATTATCAACTTCGCTCGTTGAAAAAAGCCTGTACTTCGACGTTTTGGCAAATTCTTACTGCACTTTTTGCTGCAATAATAACCTTCGCTGATTGCAATGTCAAGTTGCGACAACGTAGGTGTGTTGCAGCATGCAAGTCGAAGTGTATCAGCTCCGAGAAGGCTTTTGCAGAAAGCAGTGTGTTTAATATGTACTTTTTTCTTAATGCTTAAAGGACCCATGAAACGAATTTTGGGCTGGGGTAAATCAATTTATATTGGGATTTTACTAATAGCACATCGTTCAGTGGGCCAAAAGAACAAAGGTAGAAAGTCAGAAACCTGACTTTCGCTACGGAAATTTGCAAAACATAGCGGACTACTTCGTACCTCCTTCCCTTCGTAAACTCTCCGCCTTTTCACTGTGATACATCCGCGGACCCCGCAGCGCGTCACCGGGCTACTCGCCACCATAACCGGGCCCCCGCAGCGCTTCACCAGGGCCCAAGCGCACGTCACACAACACCGGACCTCACTTAATCCCTTTACCCCTAAGCTGACATTGCGGTGGAAGCTACGCGCTTGCCGGACCAATCGGCCGCCTCCCTTTCATCACCTGACCTCATTCTCTGCGGGTCGCGGTATGCGCGAGAGAGCATGATCACGTGAAAAATGTGTGGCTGGCCCAACGAGCACGTAGCTTCCACAGCACTGTCAGCTTCGGGGTGAACGGGGTGGGGAAAGCAACTAGTCGGAAGTTTGAGCGACGGTCTAATCTTCTAGGAGGACAATGGTGGTGTCCGGCTGCAAGCGAGATTCCGAGCAAGAGGGGACTCCCCCCTTTCCGACTTCTTGAACTGTCTGGTACAATGCGCGATTTATGAGTTGAGGAGGAAAGCTAAAGAGAAAACAGTTGAAAAAGCGTTTCATGGCTCCTTTAATTCTTTAAAACTATTTAATCCTGTAAAAAAGCAATTCTTGTAATTTCATTTTTGAGGACAGCTTAGGGGAGAACGAGCAAAATAGCCCCAGCATATTTTAGAATATCTTTCAGTGGAATTCGAAGCGTCTGAATTGTATGCATATATTAGACATCTCTTAACCATTAAGTTAAGAATCGTTCCTTCGGGCGCATGTATTGATCTTTTTTTAACATGTTTACTTCGATAATTTTATTCCATAGTTGACATAATATAAATTAAAAAAGGTCCTTCAAAAAAATAAAATAAAGATGTCTACAATTTTCTGTAATACCAAATTAGAAAGCAGGTCTTGAGGAGGAGAAGGGGAGGGTACGGAGGGGAGGGTATGTCTCGTTTCCCCTCCCCTAATCCTGTCCTGCTCCCCTCCTATTTACTGGGAATTTTTCGCTAAATTTCCCGCTAAATAGAGGGGCGGAGATTTTAAGGGGAAGTTTAGCAAAACTTTTACCGCTAAGCGGGGAAATTCTTTCGCTAAATTTTGCAGGGAACTTTAGCAAAAAATTTCCCGTTAAATTTAGCAAGAAATTTAGTGAAAATTTGGCCACTAAATTTAGCGGGTTAGGTTTCCCGACTAAATTTTGCGGGAAAATTGACTTGACGTCACTTCAGCACCAATTTAGTTTCCTCGCTAAATTTAGCGGAAAAACTGTGACGTCCCATGATGCAACGCGGGCGGTTACGTCGACGCCGACGCCGCTCAATCCGGGAACGGTCGCCTAAGGGCTGCGCTCTAAAATTGAAACCTGTTTTATAAACATAATCTCCTTTAAGAGCGCAGCTCTTAGGCGTCTGTTCCCAGATTGAGCGGCGTCGCGGCCTGCGTCGCCGTTGACGTCGGCGTAACCGCGCTAAATTTAGCGGAAAAATTGACGTCACGTAACCTCAACACCTATTCAAAACGATGCCTAACATTGAATCCTCGGACAAAAAACACACACACATGAAGAAAGTAACACTGCTTAATTTTGGTGTCCAAAACTGAACTCTTCACCAGAACAATTAACATAACCGTCAATTCAGAAGAAAAGAAAAAAAAGGTTCAGTTTTATGCAACAAGCTTTTGCTTCATGGTCCCTTTGAGGGTTATTTTGATTAAACTTTGCATTTTCGTGCTCTATTTTTCAGGTGTAAAAGGTTGTCCCAACTTCGCGGACCAAGACGAAAGCCTCATTATAGAAGGTATCCTTCCTACGTACCAGCTTGGGGACAGTATCACCCTCAGCTGTCCAGGAGGAACTGAGCTGGACCCGCCCGTCGAGAGGATAACCTGCCTGGGAGACCGGTGGTCCGAGACCAAGCTTCCTCATTGTTCGGACAGGTTCCCTTTCAGATTTTAAGGTGTCCAAAGTTTTGTATTCCATTTCTTGCGCAAATGAATCTGAGCAAATATGTCTTTTTCTGAGAGACATAAATGCACTCATGGTTATTTGCAGCTGTGCCCTTGCTGGGTTTCTGAATGCTGAAGGGCGCAAACCAGGTGGTGCCAACTACTCAATGATAAAAACTTGTTTAAATCTCTAATGAGGAGACAAAAAAATGTCTGTCAAGTAACAAAACTCAAGTGCATGTCCAGTGACTAAGCTCAAAATAATGAATGGCAAAACTGATTTATATATCTAATGTCTAAACTTAAAGGGGGGTGCAACGATTTTCGAACTTTGGTCAAAGATTTCTGGAAGTTGCCCCCTGGCACTTCTGAAGTAAAGAACAGAAAACCGATTTCGCCTGCGTGTCCTAGTTGTTGCGTAAAAAAAAGATAACTACTGGCATTTCGGGCACCCCTCAACTCACTCCCAGTCTTCAGGGTCACTCCTGGTCGCGCTCCCAGTGACGTCATTCGGAGTGCCGTGTAGCTTCCCGTGTGCTATCTCGGAGGACGCTTCCCCTCCCTCTCTCTGCGTACATTAGCGGGCGCTATGCTGCAGCTTAGGGCCGAGCGAGGTCACGTAATCTTTCCGCCGTAGTTCCTTCGGCTGCCACTTGGGGCTGCAGGAGGGGGAAAAAGCTCGACTTTTGCTTGGCGATTATGCAGCGGAATCGCGACACTTTTAATGAAGGAGGTGTTTTCTCTATGCTCTGGGACACGATAAATATCGTAAAAATAACGAGATGCAAATTCTTTTAATCGTAAAATCGTTGCAACGCCCCTTTAAAATAATCAATATAAAGCTTTTCATAATGAAACTCATTGGAAAATGTATATATATTAAGTTCATAATGAACAAGCTCAATTTACTTTTTAATTAGTGAATTCAAAAGAACACTGTATATATTGAGTTCCTAAGGACCAAACTCAATTGCATTCATAATGAGTAAATTCAATTTGATCGATATTGAGTTTCTTATGACCCAAATCGATTGCTTTCCTCATGAGTGAATTTAATAGAATCGATATTAAGCTTTCTATGACCAAACTCAATTGCATTCCTAATGAGTAAATTCAAAATAATATATATATATATATATATATTGAGTTCTTAATGAACACACTTAACTGCATTCCTAATGAGTAAATTCAATGGAAGCGATGTTGAGTTTTCTTTTTCTTTGACCAAAAGCAATTGCCTTTGTAATGAAGAAATTCGAGAGAATCAATATCGAGTGGCAAAACGGGACACCGACTTTTTGACGATGATCGATGCGTGCGGTAACAAACGATTGTGGAATTATTATTTCTGTAGTTGAGGAATCTGGTAGTAGATCTTATGAAAAACAGAAATGCGAGAGATTCGGCGACTATGTGCGAGACTTGGAAGCAGTAAGCTTTTTTTTTATGTGACACTTGTAGTGTGATTATAATTGGCTAGTATAAAACGTCCGGACCTGTTCTAAGCTGCCTCAAGTGAGTCAGTGAGATAATTAGTATAGGAATATTGAGTTTAGATCGCACAAGCGTTTTATAGAGAAAAGGCTTTAATGATGAAGGAGTTAGGTAGAAGCTACGTTTGAGATAGCCAAGCATCTGATTACCATTGTGTTTCACGTAATTAAAGGGGCACTGACACGTCAAAATCTTTTTTTATTATTATTTTTATTCGAAACGATTGAAAACAATTCCTGGACATTACCCTCGAAAGTAGAAACTTGGGAATTCAGTGTATTGAAGAAAAAAAAACAATTTCCAAATGCCTAATTTGAAGTTCCCTTTGGGCAATATGTGAAAGCTACGGAAGCTACACTCGATTCGCCAAAATTAGAACCCGCGAATAATTTCAAATTTCCAGCTTTTGCCCGATTCGCGAAAACTTGAGCCCGCGAAAATTAAGTCGTTTACAATATATTTTTTTTAATTGCTTCAAGCCAATATTCATGATGCTTATTACATAGCAATCCAAATACCGTGTGGTTTCTACGCAAAAATATTCCACCTTTCCATAAATATATCTTACTTCTCATGGAGAAGTACGATATAATAATGGAGAAGTCCACGTCAGCTGATGCCGCCCGTCGATTAGGCATCGCGTTTTGGAGTGTGAGGAGCCGCCCTCGGATACAAGGGGCACAGCGGGCCTGTTATGGCTACGCACTGGCGGCACCTCCGATTATCAACACGATGCCCGCCGTTTGCTCCCTTGCAGCTGAAAAGACGGATAAGGGGAAGCGGCAGTAAACTCTGTTCTTTCTTTGGACCTAATCGTGTCAGCTATCGTTGCCAGTGGCATGCTGCGCGGCGAAGAGGCGTTAAGAAGCGACGCCGGGTTGTGGTGCGAGAGTTCTACTTCAAAAATTGTTTTCTCGCTTTAAAGAAAAAAATACTTTGATCAAACTTTCATAATCAAAAGACAATCGATTGTTCTTTGAAACCACCATATTTTGTATTTTTACTTGGACCATCTAAGGGTGAAATAAATTGCTGTTTATGCGTTAAAACGCACTTTTGTGCAACTTCAGGATTTTTTTTTACTGCGAGATATTTAATTGAGCGGTTTAGAAATTTTTTATAGATTATATACCTGCAGGGCAGCCGGTAAAAAGTTCTATTAGGTCCCCGAAGCATTTAGATATTTTTAATAAAATAACAAAAATGTTAACATTTTCAGAAAAAAAGTGTTTTTTAAAAAATATTTAATTTGAACAAAACTGCTCAAACCCAACTACATTGCAAGTCGTAATCCGTGCAGATTGAAAAAAAGTATTGTTGGGTGTTTTATAAAAAAAGCTGATTTTTCATAAATTATAAAGTGATACCTAGTTCCACGCCGTTTCCAACATGAAAGACAACCATGAAATAATATGGTTGTCTTGCGCTTGTCCTCCGTGTTTTATTCTTTCAATTTTATGGATATCTAGTTTTACGCTATTCTTAAAGTTAAAACCGCGCTCACGCCATCAAAATTTTTTTTTCGTCAAAAATATTTTAAGGCACGTACGGCTCGGACAATGCGGCAAAAGGCCAAGATATCAAAGGTGGTTGAGCGCAACGTCTGGGACTTTTGACATGGAGTGACCCCACTTCGAACTCACATTTTAGATATTTCAAAAAGAAAGGCCGTAATGCGTTCGCAATTTCGTTAAAAAACATGTTTTACGAATGCCGTTATTAAATGTTATAAAAATGTCGCCTACAAAGCTTCCAAATTTCATAAGATTTGACGTCACAAATCAAAGAACTGAGGAGGTGAAAAGCGAAAAAAAAGCTCCAAAAATAAAAAAGACTGCGCGCGTAAGCAACGAATTGGCGTAAGAGGACTTTTTTTTTAAGTTTTTTTTTTTTTTTTTTATATGATTATAAAAGTGTTGTAAGTGTAGCGAGTTGGTATGATTACCTTTTGCGCGCTGTTCTGTTCACTATGACTACAACTTGCATCGTTTTAGACAAGAAAAATACTACATAGTTTTGTTTAACCCGAGACTGGGGTATTTCGGAAAAGGGACGAGAAGAAAAGAGGCCACAAGGAGGCGACGTCTCAAACACAGCTAAGGATTTTATTCCATCGTATGCACTTTTATACACACCACGTCCACACACCACCAACCAAGTCGACCAATGACAACATAACACCCGGAATACACTAAGCCAAACATAGGCCCAAAACATTACAAAAGAAAAATCTTTCAGCCAGACAAAAGGACAAGATAAGCCTCCGACTACACAAAGTCAACAAAGAACCGTTAAAAGGTTTTTTCAAACCCGCAAACACACGGAACCAAAGGGAAAGAGGGCATACAAGACCTAATTACACAAAGCCTCTTTGTGGCCTCTTTTCTTCTCGTCCCTTTTCCGAAATACCCCAGTCTCGGGTTAAACAAAACTATGGTTAACTTCCACCAGGTCGCCTGCACCCTTACAATTTTTTCATTAAAAATACTACCTTTGATGCTTCAGTGTCCCTTTAACATGCAGCTGCCAGGAAAGATCGGCGCTTATAATCACGCCCAGATATTTGTACGAGTCTACAAGCGGTGAGTGTGTGTGATAAAGGTTATAAGTAGCAGAGAATTTAGCTTTATCTGGTATGCGCATCGTTTTGCATTTGGTAATATTAAGCTGCATTGACCAGTGTTCACACCACTGCAAAATCGAATCGAAATCATGTTGCAGTTTTTGTGAGTTGGAGTCGCTGGATATAACACGGAAATGTCACAATCATCAGAAGCGAGTTCGATTGAAGAAAAAAACACAAGTCATTAATATAGTCAGCCGGCAATGGCCAGGCGGCGCCACGAGAGTGCTGCATTCAGCGCCTCGAGCGGAGGCGTGTGTGTTACAGGGGCGGCCAGCCTGTCCGTTGGGCCGTGGCGAGCGTAGGCGACCCCGATTTTTACAGTTCTCGTGTGTACGCGCGCCGTGTCCCTGGTTATTTTATTCGTTTTTTTATTTTTGAAAGATCATCGGGAGCCTTGATAGGTCGAAGTGTTTAGAGCATCTTCTATACTTCGTTTCATCTTAGGTCCGAGCGCTGCCCATGTTATGAGTCGAAGGGCCAATCAAACAGTGAAAGAGGCACAACGTCATGGCGTGCTCTCTGCAGTTGATAGGAATAGCCGGTATTCGCCGTCTCAATGTGCGTGCTCCTCCGCCGGCTAGTCCCGTCAAGCACAGAGAGCACGCCATGACGCTGCGCTTTTTGCGCTGTTTGATTGGCCCTTCGGCTCATAACATCGGCCGCGCTTGGACCTAAAGTGAAACGAAGTATAGAGTTGTCATTTGCACATCAGTTTGAGGGCGCCCAATCGGTATGTGCGCTTCGCTCGTCTCCCAGGAAGTGACTCAGCACAACGAGGAGGCAGCGAATCGGTATACTATACTACCCAGTTGTACGTCTTCGAGAGCCGGCAGTCCGGACCCTAGTTGTCACCCTTCGTTCTGAGCTCGCAGTCGGAGTCCGTGTCCAGA